CCTTTCTTCTTTTCCATTCGGAGCATTGCCCGGTCGCTAGAAATGGTACTTCTCGCTCCCATATCTTCTGGTTTATCTATTAGAGCTATCACGGTTCCTTTATCTCATTTTGTTTATGATACTGCGGATGTTCGTTTAGCGAGATGTATTTGATCATTTTATGCCTGTGGTATTGATAGCAGAAGTGTAGTTGAGTAGAATGCAGACAGAAATACCTTGCTCATAAGCAATTCTAGTTGGATGGTAAAGTATGCCAGTGTCTTGATGTGCTGGACGTACCTCAACGGAAACTGGTCACTTTGCTCAAAGTAGGCACTGGAGCCTCTGCTTCTACAATGAATCTCGCAGCTCCCAATGAAAAACTCAAATGGTGTTATGACACATGTGTGGATGTGCTTCGGTCAATCTCGAAGACATTCTAGTTCAATTTCGATACATCCTCACTTTGAGCAGACTGCCAAGTAGCCACAGGAAGTTTCAAACATGAACGGTCGGGCAGTGGGAGAAAAGCTTCAACGCTCAAGATCCCACAAGTGATATGTTTTTGCTTAGCTCTTCCAGCGCTTTGCTACATATTTGGGGGTCCCCAAACAGATGACTGCGCTCACTTAGCTTCCGTCATTGTTGCAATCGACTTATCAGCTGTTGCTTCGTCCTGCGTAAGCAGAGTTCTTCTATTGCAAAACAAAACCTACCTAATCAGATTGTACTTTTTTCTATACTCACTTTCTAGTCACTGATTGTTATCACTGAACAATGGTGGTGTCATTGGTAGCCACGATGGTAGCCAATGGATTTTAGGCGGATATAAATGGCTCCGATGTGACCAGTGGAGCAGATGATACCCAAGTCGATGTAAAAGTCACAGTGGCACCATTGAGTAATCAAATAGAAGACAATCATGCCCCCTACAGTTTGTAGGCCGACCAACGAACTCTTAGTAAGCATTTACGTGCACATTAACTACTTACTCCTTGCCTTCGTTTCTCACAGAGGACTGTTACAAGGTTCGATGAGTGGACCTCAGTTTTAGGATGTTAACCCCGGCTACATTCAAGTAACGGTGTTTGATATCCGAAACCGAACGTCCATATGTTGAACGCACAGTGTGTGTGACACCCACGTCAGTTTCGTGCTGACTGCACATCACGACCCCTTGTAACCGTATATGGTACTGCTAACCTTCGGTTCTTGCTGCCTGCCGCTCTAATCTAACGGGGAAAGTCAAGGCTCGGCTGACGGTGCATATTCTGCGTTACATGGTGGCTATATTTATACACCAAAAATACGTTAAAATATGGCATCACCAGTGACTTGGCCTCATTCGTTGTAAACGTTTACTATCTGGCTGAATTGTTATTGGGCACGAGATTTGGCCGTTTGTTCGCCTCCGAACAGCCTAGCCCGTACTGTCGATGTGCACCGGAAGTCCCCAGTTGCTCACGTGATCGGTGTGTACATTATCCGGTCGGCTGTTCACGCGATCCATCTTAAGTCAGTTCGTGAGCGGCGGGTTACGTCAGTTTCTCGCTTGACTTATCACAGGTCCGTCTGTACTGTCGGCTTTTCCCCACATTTTAGCACGGGGCTTAGGCTTTGATTCCCTTAGGCCGTCTAGTACCCTATCTCTCTTTGCTAACAAGACGAGTGTACAATCCTTTGGAATAAATTTGTTTGGCCCACTCTAACTTAGTTAGTGCTATCTTGTGAGTGGTTAGCTCAAGTGTTTGAAGGTGTTCGGGGATTATAACCATACGGTGTTACACCTATTGGAGGTCTGCGTTCCCCAAGCGAGCGTGATGAAAAGCAAGTGAGCCCCTTCTGGTTTGTTACTAAGATACCGTGAAGAGCAGACAGTGACCCATTAGAACAAAATACTCGTCAAGCTATAGGGCTGCACCCAAGCAATTGTAGGAATGGATTCAATGCAATAACTTGTATGCAGATGACGCAGTGGTTATTAGAATCCAGTACAGCTTCTCTTTTATGTCTAACCTCTACAATAACTCCTTAGAAGTCCGCAACGTACGATTATCCAACGCATCAGCTTCCATTACAGTGGAACATTGCGAAAGACGAATCTTAAGTTTCTGAATTTCGCCGTTGGTAAGGTGAAACCAAAACACTCACAGAACAAGAATACATTGAGGCAACCGAAAGGAGATATGTGCCACACAACGCAGCACTAAGCTGATTCTTACTAAGAATTGATTAGAACCACTACGTCACCTACATTACGCGAGTTTGTCGATGTAGTCGTTTCTGTCTAATAGCATGGCTCCGGTACCTTTGTTCGATCTGTACAAAATGATATCCTTGTTGCTTTTTGACTCCTTCAGACTGCGTTCGTATCAGAGGGCCGTGGTTACGGATATCGTATTTGACATACTAATAACACCGGTTTACCAACGAATCTTTGAAGTGCCCCATGTCCATCATGGACTTCGGTACTAAACCGTTTGTGGGGAAATGGGTTTGCAAATTACAAATCAGAGTGCAATTGGTTGTCTTTGTGTCTAAGGGGCGCAAAATTTTAAGCCAAGCGACAATACTTCGTCTAAAGTGGTGCTCATTTGCAGGCTTATACACTTATTTCTCGGGTCTGTTTGGAATCGAAAGCCTTCGGCTTAGACTTGCTCAACGGCTTTGCTAAAGCCAAGTGCCTTGGTCGTACTCGGCTGTTAGCAACATACTGCACATAACCGGGAACGTCTTTTCTTCTGCAGTGAATTACTGAATACTCAAATGATAACCCTATAAGGAGACCAGGCTTCTCATCTACATAAATCTTTATGCACTGTAGACCAGACCAGATGATATCCCTAAAACGCTATCTAAGCCGACCGAATATCATGCATTAAGAACGATTATATAATACAGCTGGTACCCCCAACCGGATGTCGCTATTATCTTTGTGATGGTTTTAGATTCGGTTCTTCATTCAGCTAAAACGAGTTCTCCAGTTTTTCGCTCACAAATGATATCGCATCAATTAGCTTACGATATCTGTATCGTCGCGAGGTCGATCATAGCTACTACAGAGTCCCATGAGGCCTCCTACACGGAGGTGCTGTGAATTAAGGCTGAGTAACCAGTTGACGAAAGCATCAACTCATATCTGTCATTAATTCACCTTCATAGTATATTTGCATCGTACGACTACTTTGTTCCTTGGCATTGATCAGTGAGTGCATCATCGTCCGCATTCAAAGACGATTGGTGTTGCATCGCTCGCAAATCGCTTAACTCATTACCTGGGTCGCGAACTGAGAGTAAGTGAGAAGTTGGCGAATACACTTGAGCACGAAACGAATGTCACCTAATTGAAGGCAATGTGGCTTCATTGCATCATGTTTACAAAAATTTTGCGAAACTTTTCAGCATTTGCGTTGCAATTGACGGAAATCAAATTAAACATGTTATTGGAACAAAAGTTCGCACTTTTATGCATGTGTCGAGAATTTACGCACACCATGTAGTTTGTGGTTTCCTCTCTCGATTGCCCACTTACTACAGTGTGTGGGTCTGAACATAGCCTTCCTTTGATTCACTGTGATTATGCTCATTGATTCAGGTCAGTCAATGCCAGTACAAATGGCCCAAAGTTAGGACTGTTACCGAATACATATCGCTGCATTGGGGAATGCCACACCCTTCAACATCTTGATCGACTGACAGCTGACCACTGAATAGTGCTGAGCATTTAGTTGTCACGGTTGTAAGTTTCCCCGTTTCTGTTTGTAACTTCCCGTTGGGTGAAACCAGCCTCCTTACCACTAGCTTTCAACACCATAGGTGGCTTCCACCCCACCGCTCTCCCTCGCTTGCGCGAAAGTGAAAGTAACATTTCCTAAACTCCTAAGGGATTGATTCAAAATACACCACCACTTCACCAGTTGGCAGACCAAGTTAGCAAGCACGTGAGATCGTTATTAATCAGGTGCTATTCATCCACACATAACCAAATAATAGTGGTACCGTTGTGGCCTAATACATCGACGCATAGGGATGGCGAATATGAAATTAGCTTCTATGTGAAAGCTTGAACTACACTGAACACCGACTGAGCAGTAGTGGGAGTCCCCCGGGTGCATCAGTGTCACTCAACTAGATTAGGCACGCTCAACAATCGTCTCACCCTCTTCCTGTATCTCTGGGCGCACATTCCGGTTGACATGAATTGCACACCAAATGACAACTGATGTGTTCAAGAGGTGAGACGCAGTATGCTCTAGTACTTGCTTAAGTGCTTGGGACAATACCACAAATTTGTAAACTGAGGTGACCGACTAAATCATTTACTATACCCACTCTACTGAATCCGGTGTTGCGTTCGGATTTAGCGACGATTTTTTGATATACTGTAATCTGAGTCCCCTAACAGTCGGGTTACTGGACAACTTTAGCATGAATCTAAGCATTACCGATACGTGTTTACTAACTGGTTATTGTCAGGTTGGCTGGCTGGTTCATTCACTGTGTGGCTCGAGATGAGTGAGGCTCCTTTTAATGTTCATCTATGTTATCGTGACCCGCCCCAAGAGAATTTCGCCTCGCTTTCTGCACGGGACGCCTCTCTCATACTGACGTGTCAGGTTTTCCGCATTTCACCGCCCCAGTGACGCGAAGTGCGGAATTCATGTTGCACATCAGCGAAGCGTAACTGACACGCATCCTGCCTGCATGGGGCTACACACAAGCATCGGTGATGCCACTTCAGTGTTCGTCACCCACCAAATTCCATGGATAGTGATATTTACAACAACTACTAGTTACCCAATAGCATGCGTTACATAGCCCCTCAGTGTTGAACACACTAAGGCGCTTCACTCGCAGCTCCAGCTATTCTAGTCTGCAAGAGGTGAGCGTACCGGAAGGGATATTTTAAGCATATCACCCATTTCAGTCGACTAACAGCATGATCTCCAGCACATACCTGTGGGTTTTCGTGTGGCGTCTACCCATAGTAAACTTACACTGGTAGAGTAAGCGTTCATGACTGCATGCAAATTGCACTCGAGCTTATAGACGTTCGCCCTGAACTTAACTTATGGCGTTTGCCGGTGATCAAAATGCAACTTGGCTCCTTATCACATTGGGCTCTCGACTATGAAGTGACACAACCGGCACAAATTTCCTATGGACTTTCACGTCCATCACATTGCAGCGTCATTGCCATCCCATGCTTGCGAGTGGAATCGACCCGCCTACGAATCAAGCCAATTAGCGCTAGTCTAACCAGTGGTGTAAGGCATGGGCAAATAAAAAACTTGACAGCCGTTTCATCCGAATCAAGTTGTGACTAAACTGCATAATCCCATGGCCCAGATTGATCACTCACAAATTTCCCCTAACAGTGACTACTCTTGATTGTCGGGTTTTGGAGCACCCACACTGTATGCTGGATTGGGACACGTAATCTCAATCATGGCCTCAGTTGGCTTTAAAGTCAGTCTCTGCCAACCCGAGCTCTGGGACCGTATCTGAAGTGGAGGATTCCGGTGTTACTCTCCACCATTGCAGCAATGGAGTGCAGTGATCATTGTTCATTGTTGTTCTTTGTTCTCGTTCCCCACCATCCCCAGCCTCATCCGACTCTCTGTCTCTCTTGCACAGGCCGACTATCCTACTCGCTGGCTGGATAACCCAGCTTTACCCCATGCTTTGGCGCCATCAAACCGGCTAAACGGAGATGGAATGCATGATTTGGCAACATTGATGCTTGATCCATCTCACCAAACTAATGCCAAGATACCCGAGTACGAAACACAAGAGTGGCAGTTAGCCCGATACGCCAGGCTTTTACCAGACACACCTCCGAGTGTAACGACAGACCAGAGCGATGGGCCTGATCGCAGTGACGATGGCACCTGGGAGGAATGGAATGGTTCGATTCATGGCCCAAAGCTCTTGACTCGCCTGGCTGGATTTGGACACCTGTGCATAATGTACGGCAACGAGGTATTGGAATCGTACTTCCTTATTCTGGCCAAGAAATGGATGAAGATTGTCTTACTGGGTACGTTTTGTGCTTTAGCGTCCTTTACCCCAAGCACAGTCAAGGTCATACCTACCCCTCATTTCCTCCCTGTGCAACGTCATTTTTCGCATAGATCTTGTGCGTGACTTTAGCATTTATCCTTTCTCGCGTTTCTTTTTCACGAGATAGTAAGGTTTACACGTCATTGTGCTCCGTCACCCCTACGGAAAAGGAAGGGTGTTTTCCAATGTGGCCAGTTCAGTTTGCGGACACTGCTCATTCATAGTATTTTGCCGAACTGCTAGGACAGACCAACTCATAGTGAAGGGAGAACAAAAGGGTGGGTAGGATGCAAGCTAGAGTCCAATGAAAACAAAGACGTGAATCAAATTGCACTCGTACAAACCGCTCTAGCTACAGCACGATTGATCAAGAGTGTTAGCCTCATCTCATCACTGGTCTGTTGATCTGCTGGTTTCCTGTCTGTTTCCATATGCTTGCTTTGGCCCCTGATTGCGCTCCATGGAACGCACATTCCTAGCACATAGACTCCGGAGGCCAACCACTGTCCTCTGTAAAGTTTGTAACCTGCATGGTAGTGCAGGATAGGCTGCGCTATATCCTAGTCAGCTTGCAACTTGTGACGGTCTGCCACCGTTTCCCGTGGCTCAGTGGCATACGCGGCTGGTTAGTTGGCGCAAGCTGCCAGTGGTCATGGGTTCGCTTCCCTGCAGGGAACAGAACGGATGAACACCATTGGCTGCCCCAATAGGAAGAAACGATCGTCCGGTGCTTTTCCGGATTGATGCCTAAATTGTCATGCTTATGAGCTGTTGGGACGAACCAGTTAAATTTCATCAAAAAATCCTCCTCATCATCACTAACCTTTTGGTCTGTTCTATCCACTTCGGACAGCCGAGCTCTTCAGTTTAAGCAGGTTCTCATTGTTCTCTTGGGAGTGCCGCAGGTTGTTGTCCCAGAACGAAACCGAACATTACCACGCCGTGACAGTCCTACTGAACTGCCATCTGTGTTTAGTTTTGATTGTGACCAGTCTTCAGGGTCTTACTCGATCTAGTAATGTAATACCAAGGTTAGCGTGTTTTGGCGTTATCCCCCTCCATACCTGCTCATTTTTCACTTGGCATTACTCACACCATCCGTAAGTTCATCATTCACAAGGCTCCGGCGCTGGCAATGCTCCGAACATATGTGCCAGCGTTTTCCGATTCACGGCAGTGTCTAGTTAGATATCGGGCTTGTCTTTTGTTTTGCCACCGTTTTGAGGAACCCAACCAAATGTCCGTTCTGCGGCAACATGCTATCGCATGGCACCAAGTATCCAACTTGCATGCCGTTCTTTCAATATTTTGACACGTGCATTTAGCTTTTCTGTATGACTACGGTATGCACCGGACTAGCAACCTACTGATGAACGCACTTGTTTACCGGGGCTTCTCTTGCGCGAGGAGTATACAAACGCCTCTCAACATTGTTCGGTATGGTTTCTCGGAATTCGGTAGAGGTTATCGGCTTCCTTCGACAACAGAGGAATCTCCAAGAACAATGTGGCAGACATTGATGAAATCCTGGTGTCTGCTGCCGTGTAGATCTTTGGCTTGACGTCTAGGCACGAATGACAAATAACCGGACGCGCATACTAGTTTCTCAACTGCCATCCTACGTGTGTGCATAATTCGAGCACCAACCTACGTGGAGGAGTCATTGGTTGCTTTGCACACAAGCACTGTTTGCTCACCACTTGCTAGGTAAACCATTGAGTTTGCTTTTGGTCACTACAACCGGAAGGTCCAACAGATTTTCACAATCAGGTTAACCTACTGATTAGACTGCTTAAAATGGCCATCACCTGGTTATCAGTTGGATTTCAGCTCAAAGTGCTTACAACGGAGAATCAGGCATGCAATTAGAACCAATTGGAAGCGGCTTATTCGAAGCGGGCCTCACCAGAATATTCGTGTTTTGGCTTAACAAAATCTTAGTAATTGAGGACATCACGAGTTGATTCACTTTAGGCCACTAGACACATCGCATTTGTGCACCGCAGCTTAGACTCGCACAGCGGGGAACACGACCAAACTTAACACGCTTTCACGGTGTTCCGATGTGGTCAATAAAGCCATAGACTGCAAACACAGACAGACGAGCGTAGTCTGGCTTTTGGGCAACCAAAGGACACGCTAATTCCACATTTATGGAAATACAAGCAATTCACTATTCTACCGGGTCGCTCGGTACCAATGAACTGGTTAGGGGCTGGAACTAAATTTACCAGCATGTCCTATGTAGCGCAAAATCTCGTTTAACTCAGTGTTCAAGTCTACACATGCGGAACTGACTCAAGCCTGCGGACGCAGTAATGGCTCCTAACAGAACTGTCCAAGGATAGCAGTACACACCGAGTTGACGGCACGCAACATGTATTCTGGCAAGAATGTGCACGAGACATCTATCAAGTGAGTGAAGCCAAGACATAAACGCACGCATGTAGGGTCAGTCAATGCTGGTTGTGAACATCTGACTGACCATAGTGATTCAGCTCCCCTCGCGGGAGTAATTTCAGATTAGCCTAACCTTCACAGTACATCATAGATCATTTCCGTTAAGAGCAAACCATTTAGTACCGATCATTCTTATGAAGATCACTGGGCACACCCATCCTCAGCAACATCTACGGCCGGGGCACCGTGCTAATCTGCAGTGGACCATTTCTCACAAATTCAATTGTGACCTCCTCGTCCATGTAGAGATGCGATTGTAAGCTGTCAAGGTCAGTGCCATAGGGTGGATAAAAAAGCGAAGTTTCACATGTCTCACCAAATGGTTGCTTGGCGGTTCCAAAAAGAACACAAAAAGCAACAGCAATTGGCAACCAAATTACCGGTCAGAATATTATTTGTCGGAATGGCTCACACGGGGTATGATGCGGTTAACAAAGTTTTCGCCTTTTGTTTTTCCAGCAAAATCGGTGTGTGTTTTTACGTTTTAACTTCATGATGTCCGTGTGGGTCATATGATTTAGATGCCATGGTGTAGATGGGAAAGTTCATCGTTTGCATGGTCTTTAAATGCAGTTAACGTAAGAGCGAAAATAACAGGTGCCCGAACGGTATTTCAGGTGTGGAAAACACGCAAGGGGAAGTGATTCCGACGACACTCCAAGCAACTGCACTGCTCTACCAGTTTGAAACAGTGAACTCTCAAGTCACCGTTATGACTAAGCGTTAATAGACGATAACAGGCGTGTTTAGGGTTACATAAGGTATGATAAACCATGATAAGGTTACCAGACAGAAGCCTATTGATTTCCACTGAAAACTCCCAACACAGTCGCTGTTCGTAAAGCGAATGAACATTGCTTTGAGCTTTTTTGTTACTCGACGTTGCGGAATCCCCGAAACAATGAGATCCCGCTTCTACCATAGCTATCATCATCATCATTATACACAGTTAGGTGTGGGAAACACCTCAGCTGTTTTGCCGCAATACATGTGAAGGGAAAATGCGCAACACCTGCACGTCAGTTGAGTCAGCAGTAAAGGATGGACATCGTTCCGTCGAGCTAGCAACCGGCTATTGTGCCGTATAAAGTTATATTATACCTCAGGAATGAGATCGTGGTTGGAAGATGAGGCTGAGCGGGATGGCTACGTAGTTCTCCCAAGTATCGGATGTTGGTGATTATCTGTAGTCTCGCCAAGCCGGGTTGCGTACTATCATCCATTTTTGAGTCTTGTTGCTTACGAGAGAAACTGTTTTAAGCCCATTGCAAAACTCTTGCTCCGAAGCATTTAATTGAATTTATTGACAAAATCAAGCCATGCGACTTTCAGGGAGGCTACATCAAGGAACGACCAGATTGTAGCGTTGACAACCTTGGCTAAGCGGTCGTAGCGTGTAGTAGTGCACACTATCGCCGTGTTTTCATGACGATATTCCGCATAGCAAATGAAATTGAAACTGCTGACTGCATGATTACTGCGGTCCAATGGACAGTTTACATCTAGCACACTAATCATATGCTCCACTTTGGTATGCACCAGATCAGATGGTTTGTTGTCTATCCTAAACATATTGAACAAAATGCCGTGGGTGTAAAACTGAACACTGGTTCGGAATTCTAGCACATCTGCTAGGGGTAGGGGTTTCTAAACAATGCACATTGAAATCGCCCGTGCTCAAGATGTTAGTGCAGTTTTCCTTTAGAGTGCATCATAGAGCATTTGCTAGGTGGCAGTCCATTACGGGTGTAGAGTTTGGTGGAGGGGTAGGGGCGGCACACCAAAGCTATAAGGTGTCTCTGCCTCTTAACTACGGCAACACAGAGAATCGGGGAACTGCGCGTCTGAATCCTCCATGGCCTGTCACTGTAGATCGCTTCGCTACTACCAGATTAGCCCTTCTGCTTTTGTGAGTCTGTCGTTTCGGTTGGGTGACATGCCCGGCAGTGAGACTTCAGCGTCCGTCATCCTGGCGGTAACCACGTCTCAGTGATATCCATGATATCGCGTGGCCTATAAATTTGGTAATCTTTCAGTTCGGCCAGCTTGATGAAAAGGCTTGGTCATTGTTATACAAGTAGTTTCGTGTCTCAGACAGCCCACAGGGGGAGAAAGGAATCGGGTCTGGAATAATACGGACCAATGTGAGGTCGGTCGTTATTCGTTTTTCTTTGATGGGTTACTGACATCTCGTCTGCAATTTGATTAGGCCAATGTACGTCCTATTCGTTGTCTACACCATTTCCCGGCCAAGTTGTCCTCTTGGGCAACAGAAATAATCTGAGGGGGGCATTCAACATGAGTCTACTCAATTAATTTGTTCCGTGCGTAGGATCTGAAGCGTCCCACCTGCACTCCTATGACTTAGTGCGTCTGAGATCTAATTGGCTGAAGGCGACGGGCTATACACGCACATCTACACACCTGCACAAGTGACTGGCGTACACACGGAACAAATTAATTGAGTAGACTCATGTTGAATGCCCCCTCAGATTATTTCTGTTGCCCAAGAGGACA